TGGCAGGGAACTGCTTGATCTTGATGCACATACTAAAAACATTCTTCTGCAACCCTGAAATGCTACTTCAGTGTCTATGAACCAGAACTTCTCTTTGGCTGTCATTCTCCCAGTCTCCACTAGGTAGAGCATGACTCCTTCCTGTAGGCTACCTTATTAAGTCTTATAAATTACAAATTCTAAGACAGCTTGACAATAGCTGCTTTACCTTCAGGGGCATCTGCATCACATCTTTTTGGCACAGAAAGGGTTGAGTTGCCTTTATGGACATCAGAAGTTATATTGCTCTGAAAGATGAAAATATGATTAAAATAAAAATATTGCAATCATTAATGTATCTGGACTAATCACATTGCTAACTTCATATTCTACTTTATACTAATGACATCTATTATTCTAAAAGATCAATTTAATAAAAACTGTAAGACAAGAAGATATGATAAATTTAATATTAAAGTACTTTTGCAACAATAATTTAGGTCTTATAGTAAACAACAGAATTTCTTTTCAGAGTAGCTTGATAACAAAAAAGAAAAAGGCAAAAGCCTGGAGTCTTGGATTTCATTTGAAATCCCAGCATATGGGAGGTCAAAGCAGAAAGATAAATAAAGGAAAAAAATAACAACAACAACAAAAACTTAATTCAAAAAGTATCCTTCCCCACTACACAAAAAGAAACAGAAGTGGGGGTGGGGTGGGGAGAAAGGTGAATGGAGGGAAGAAAAGTGGAAAGAAAGGAAGAAAAAGCAAACAGGGAAAATATCTTTTCTTCATACAAAAGAATAATTTTCATTCCCAGAACAGTTGCTGAGTATCAGCTAGGAAAGCAGGTAAGTGATGAGGCAGGAGGATTACAGGGTCTTCACATCCACACTCAGTTCATGTGATCTCATGATCTAGCACGGAGTTCTCAGGCTCCTGTACCACATGATCTGATTGGACTGTTGCATCTACATTAGTAATTACTAATGTTCTCTTAGAAATGCCTTTCTGAGATGTCAGTGATACAAGAACTGATATGCATTTATTTATTTAGTCATTTCATGTAAAAATAAACACGGAAAGGAGGAAGTACGAGAGAAAGGAGATGGGGAGGTCAATGGGAAAAACATGGGTCCAGTGTAAACTGTTAGGAAGAACGACCACATGCAATTTAGGAAAAGGAAATAGAGTAGTGTTTTGAATGAGAAAGTTCCTTCCCCAATCTTGAGTATTTGAACATTTGGTCCTCAGTTGGTGGTCAACTCTGGGAGGGTGTGAGAGGTGAGGTCTTGCTTGCTGAAGTACATCATGGGGGGAGGTTGGAGTGGGTTTTGAGAGTAAAAAGGCTTCCAGTTACTCTCTCCTCTTTGGGCCTGCAGTTAAAATGTGAGCTCTTGGCATCCTGCTCTAGGCAATGCCTGCTGCTGCCCACCCCTGCCATCATACACAGACTCTCTGGAAGCTAAAATAAACTCCCCTTTGTACACTGCCTTGGCCATGGTGTTTATCACAGCAACAGAAAATCAAACAATATACTAGACAAATGTTGAATCCAATATGGCAAAAATACTTTAAATTGTCAAAAATCCAAGCTCGCTATATTCAATTAAACATAAAAAGCATTGTTGGTTTTTATTAGTCAACCATATCAAGAAAAGAGAAAAACAGCACCAAGGAACTCATCATGTTTAAAAGAAGTCCAATTATTCACAGATAAAATATCTAGGAAACCTCTCTCATTGAGCTATAGGAGCAATACACAAACATGATGTACACTCTGCGACTTTTGGCAACAGTTAGTAGAAGTATTTAAAAGTGCTAATTTTTGTAGAACCATTAGGAGTATTAGCTAATAAAGTGCTTATGAAAAGCTTGGTATCACAGGATCCACTTAATGTATATTTATAATGAAATTATTTTATTTTTAAAAGTATGAAACAAACATAAATATGTTCACAAGTATTGAAAAACCAGTTTTGTCAAAAATAAATTTAATAATTAACAAATAAAATTTGCTTTTACATTTCTAAATTCGTTAAGTTTATTTTTATTTCTTTCAATTGTATCAGTGTTTCTAAAATACAAAAATAGTAGCATTTTAATTACTGCACTTACCTCTATTAAGTAATTTTGGCTTCCATACATAACGTACTGGGGAGCAAGACTATAGATCATGTAGCTAGTATGAAGGACAATCAGCAGGAGTATCATGCAGAGAAATAAGAGTGCTTGAGGCCTGGTCCGCCCTCTCCTGATTTTATATAACTGGGGAAAATAAAAAACAAACCAGGACAAAGTTTAACCAAAGTTATTTTGAAGCTTTAAGTCAGGCCACTATGTAATGGGGACATACTGACATAGTCCCATTGTTCTAACACAAACACTAATAACTTGAAAACAAAAGAACAAAAAAAGATCTTTTTTCCTATAAAACTTTCAGCATTAATCTTATGTATACTTGGAAATAATAGAGAACCTATGCTCAAAGAAATTGATATTTATTGAGCTCTACATTTTTCTCTGTTCCCCTCCCTGCCCCTGCCTCTCCCTTCCCACTTCAACCCTCCCCCAAGGTCCCCATGCTCCCAATTTACTCAGGAGATGCAATATCCTAATACCTTCACACTATAGTCTGTCTTAAAAACTAGCTTATGATCATTTATGGTAATCTGATTATAGATGTGATATTTTTATCTGTGCTAAAGGGGAACTCAAGTGTTAACTGTAACTTAAGGAATTATGTGACTTGGTCCATTGTAATGGTGAGCCCCACTTTACTAGTTCCTGCTGTTTTACCAGACAACAGCCTATTACAGGCTAACAGAATTCTGTTCTGGATGAGATGACAATATAGTCACTGAGAAATATACATTTCCCAGATCCCCTTATTCCAGGAGTGGTCACACAATAAGATGTTCCTAATGAGAAACTGAAAGTCACATCACTACTGGATCTCGTACTTTAACCACTGAAGCATTCCCCCCACAGAAAGAAGTTTTTCTTCAGTTCAAATGCATGTTTACTATGTTTTCTTTTGTTCATAACTAAAAGTGATGTCTATCTGATTCAGCATCAATTTACAATTTATAATTTTCTCAGGATGCATGTAAGAAAATAAGCAATGTTTGCAGTTGTCTTTGGTATGGGGATGGAGGATCCAAAGTTCACTATGACACCAAAATCTGCACATTCTCAACTCCATTGAGTGCAGGGTGTAGAGTTTACATGGAGCCTATGCAGGTACTCCTGTGCACTCTAAATAATGCCAATGCTACGGATAATTACCACAGGTAGGGTATCAGTATTTATGATGTTCAAGGACTAATGAAAGGGCAAAGGTCAGCCCTATTCCATCTATTTGGTTGGGTAAATGTACACTTGGGGATTCATGAATAACAGTAGCAGTCTCTGACACCCACCAGGGAGGGGAATCTCTGAACTTCAGTGTGTTCATTGTGTGCCCAAAGCAATCAAAGGCTAAGACAAACAGCATACCTTCTAGACCAAGGTTTCTCAACTTCAGAAGTTTAACTGGCAGCATCCCTGATCCCTAATTCTTACACTTCCACAGCAGTCCCTAGTAACTAACTAAAAAATGTTTCTAAACACTGCTAAATATCTGAAAGAAATAGTGTGTGTGTGTAAACAGCTCCTACGTAAGACTTCCTGCTCTAGAAAGTACTTTTATGTTAACATGGAACATAACGTTATTTCTATCACTTTTAGTATCATACTACACATAATATATTCTAAATATTAGAGCGGGCTGTGGCGGTACACGCTGTCATCCTAGCACAAAGATAGGAAAGATAAGAAAATCACAGACTTAAGGCTAATCTGGGCTACAAAGACTTTTTCTCAAATAACACACAAACTAGCAAAGAGGATAAATTGCCACAATGGAAATTATGTACAAAGTAATAAATACAAAAGCCAGAAGATATTATATACTTACTCTAATCCAAAAGAACCATATGCCAATATTTCGAATTCCCGCCATAGAAGTAAAAATAAAGTACATAATAATAATTGTTATAAGAATATAATCAAGAGGGAACACCTAAAAAAAAGATGAAAATCAAGTTTAAAAGCCAAGCTCTGAGAGCTCTAGAAATTAAAACAAAATAACTTGAAATAATTATTTATATTTGATAATTAAAATGTTAATCACCTTTCAGATTAGGCTAATATGAGAATACCATGAAAAATACTTTTATAAAATCCCAACTATTATTATGTTAATAATAGCAACATCCTAAGGAAAAAATTCTAAAATCAATTATGATGTATTTTTATATATGAAATAAAGACTTAATTAAAATTTAAAAACTAAATTGGTCTGGAAGAGTTCACCTTTGGTAGTAGTAAGCATCTCATATCAAAAGTCGGCCAATACATAGATATAATCATCTATAAACCAACGTCAATTTAGGTACAATTTGCAAATAAAAACTTAGCATATGGCTCCAACACATGTCTGACTTTTGCAAGTCTGCATGACAATGACTCTACTGGGACAGATGCTTTACTGGAGTGTAAAATGACTGACATGTTACTTACTGTTTGCAACAAAGGCAAAAGCATGTTCAGTGGATTACTCAGGTTAGTTCCAAAGATGATGAAACCAGAATCTATTCCAGCTGAATGAAGAGCTTTATCTAAACTAAAAGAAACCGTGAAGAATGAATTTACATTATACTGCCACATTTCCAGTCCAGCCAGAAAGAAGAGCATCGTAACTTAAGCATGCCACTTCTGCTGAGCCACAGAAAGCAAATTAAACTTCGCTGCAATGTCTCACAGACACTGTCAATACACAACCTTTTAGCGATTCTCTGGGCTAATGCTCTACAACACTTTAGGTAGAATAGGCTACACTAATGGAATTCAGCACCAAAATGGATGCTATCAAAGATTTTGTATAGAAAATATCTCTACTGTACTTACTTTGACAGGAAGAGAGAAGTTACAAACAGCAATGCAACTAAGATGAAAAATATTCCCCAAATGATCTAAAATGAAAAATAAATCATTATAATACCGTCCTAAACACTGATATTGAAAGAATAAAATCAGTAAGCTGACATAAGTGGATACCATATAACAATGATCTTATACAAGGTGCAATTTAGTTTAGTATATAGTCCCAGATTTTGTACCAAAATTTCCATCAAGACACTTTGGTCAATAATGTGTATGCAAAGAAGCAAAACATTTAAAAAGTCTTGGCTAACAAGTAAACAATGAAAACTTTAGTTTGATTGAAAACATTTTATTCTATTACTGAAAAGTACATTAAAGAGAAAAGTAACTTCACTCGCACATACACGCCTACATACACACTCATGCACAGGCACATGCACGCACTGTTAAGGAGATCTCAAGTCAGAGAAGTAAGTGAAATTTCTTCAGAAACAGCATCAGCTTGAGGAACTGTCCTATGTTTCTGTGGCAAATACATAAAGTATTTTAACTCGCATCCCCTACAATACGAACTCGGTTTTAGGAATGGACATAAAAGAGGAAACAAAATATCGGAAATGAGTTTCTAAACAACTGTTTAAGAATGAAAAAGACATGGATTCTTTAGCAGCAAAATCTTGAGCTTTATTTATTGGTTTGTTTGCTTAGCTGATTCTGTTTAAGTTCAAGGCAAACCGGAGTCAAGGTAAAGAACTGGCAAGGCCATAGGATTAAAAAAGGCTCTAAGTACAGGCTAGATCTGTTTACCTCTTCCTTTAGAATTGATAAGAACAGATAAGTGTGAAATTTCATTTCACATGAAGTGTGCTTCAGAATGCTGAGAGGATTAAAAGTAAATACTAACATATTATTCTATCTGCCATATCAAGATGAGCTTATCAGATAATAATTTGACAAAGAGGTTCAGATTTGCCTTCTGTGAATTGTCCAGTTCAAACATAGTGTTTTTGGGGCTTAAGGAGTAGGAAGGACAGCAAAGGAGAGGGTCAAGACGATCTCATGGAGGGGAGCAACAGTCCTTGGACCTATCTCATAAGACAGGACCTCACTGAGAACTCATTACAAAAAAAGGATTTTATTGACAAGGAACTCTGAAGTCATTCCTTTGTGGTACCAAATGGTCACTAGAAGGGGTGAAGTCCTATCTTCCTTCAGTACTAGATTCAGATACCAATGTGTACTGCCCATGTAACATGGAGGCCGGAGTCTTATACTGAGTATGAAGTGGTAAGGCATATCTCTTCCTAACTGTTAGTGAGAAACAGCTTGTAAAACTGCCAGCTTCCAATTAGAGGTCCTGAAACATGACACAGAAATTACAGACCTTGAAGATCCAAAGACTCCCTTTTGTTACATTTTGGCAAAAACATTAAATACAAAAATCCTTAGCTGTCTTACCAGTCTAAATATGAGTCAGACTATTTAATTAGCTACTTAAGATCACAGAATAAAATAAAGAATCTAAAATACTTTATGCTCCTCCAACGTGCATGTATACAAAAAGTTAAATTAGCAATTAAATATCTCACCAGTGATGAGAATATTGAGTTGACCTAGAAGCCACAGATTATGCTTTAGCCAAGATGCCAATTTCTATATGAAAATTAAACTGTAGAGGTGGTGCCAGCAAAAGTCATGGAGTAAGAATAGTGAAGCATTTATTCTCCATAAAAGCAGCAAAGGAGCTAGCACAAACGAAACAACCTTTTCCACACTACGGACATTAACCAAAAGCAGAGAGCAATCTGTGGCCGTGAACTCATGATAATGTGGCTTAACAAGGGTAGGGCACAGCAAACTTGAACTTGTCCTAGCTCCAAACATCCTACTCTAATGCTATGGCCTGAAAACAGCCACAGGGGCAGCATCTGGAGGTAACATAGCACACAGGGCAGCATCTGGAGGTAACACAGCACACAGGGGCAGCATCTGGAGGTAACACAGCACACAGGGCAGCATCTGGAGGTAACACAGCACACAGGGCAGCATCTGGAGGTAACACAGCACACAGGGCAGCATCTGGAGGTAACACAGCACACGGAAGTGGGATGAAGCTCCTTGAAAGAAAGCATCATTTCCAGAAAAACACCATCATTTAAGCAGCCTGGTGGTTCTCGAGGTAGCTACTCATAAAGAGGTCTGTACATGTCCTGGCAGTACTAAAAGCCTCTGGGTAGGAGCGATGACTGCCAACAGTGACAAGAAATCCAGGGACTGCATGGCCGCCAGCGCCAGTGGACAGTGCACAAAATTACACTAACCAAAGCCTTAACAAGAAGGTCCAGGCAATGGGATGTCCACTGGGAATCTGGAGTTCTCATACTTTCTAGCATTCTAGAAGGAATGTGTATGTTTGTGCTCAGGAAAGATCCAAGAAGGCCCAGACTCCCGCCTGAGACTGCGCAGGAAGGAGTAAAAGCTAAAGCTAAGCTGAGAGGCACCCGCCGTGTTGCACTGGACCCATACACAGAAATGCCCCGGCAGTCTACACTCACAGCTTGCAAGAATTTAAGAAAATCTCTATTAATCAGCACACTAACTGATAGGAGCTAGAGTGAACACACAGCAAGGAATAACGACCTTGTGGAATTTATTCATAAGGATTACTAAAACAAATGCCAATAAAGAACCAAGGATATGACAAACAAACAAACAAATAAATAAATCATAAAAATAAATTCAAAACAAGAAAATATGATAAATACAAGGAAGATAAAAGAATTAATAAGCATTCTGGGAAATCTAGACTTTGATATTAATAGACAAAACCTTTAAATTTGATTAAAACCTTAAAAAATTAAAATCAATACCTTAAAATGATGTTTTAGCAAATAAACAATACCAATGAAGACACAAATGTCACTTAAACACGGACTGAAATGCTGAAGGGGAAAACAGGAAAACTGAAGCAAAAGTTCAGAAGAACTCACGAGCAGACGTGAGCAGGCGGAAGGACATTAACTGAGGTGAGCCACACCAAGGAACACATAGAAGAGGCCACAAAGAGGTGTGGACAGTTTTAAAGACACGTGAGCTAATAAAAACAATAGGATTTAAAGAAAAGAGGACAAATATTTGAAGAAATAACGCCCAAATCTTTCTCAAACATGAAAACTATTGACCTATATTCTTACGAAACTCCAAGTAGAATGAATCAAAGATACCATACCCGCCACATACTGAAAGGAGTGAGTGAGTGAGTGAGTGAGTGAGTGAGTGAGTGAGTGAGTGAGTCGGAGCACAAGAGAGGAAGAGAGAGTGGGGAGGGAGAACACACCCCAAAGGATGCAGAGAAGGACTTATCCCATGAAGCTGATCCGCATTCCTTCAGGTTCCACAGATAGAAGGCTGAAGACAAACCAGAGAAAGCCAAGGGAAGAGCATGGAGCTCAGCACTGGCGCAAAGAATGTGACAGGCACACAATACCCTTGTTCAACACACAAAACTAAGAGACAAAAAGAACTACTTAAAATTTATACCGTCTGGGACTAGAGAAATGGTCGGCAGTTAAGAGCACTGCGTTCCATTCCAGCACGTATAAGGTAGCTTAAAACCATCTTAATCTCTAGGTCAAGGGAATCTGATGCTCTCTTACGGCTTTCAAACACCAAACATGCTAATAGTGCATACACATACACAGGCAAACCACCCATAAACATAAATAATTAAATTTAAAAAAAAATTGTAGAATCATAGAAAGTCACCCACTATAAAACTAACTTGAAGAAAACAACTGAGATCTAAAGCAGGTAAAAGGCTAATAAGAGGCATGTGTGTGTGCCTATTTTGTAAAAAATGAAAAATTCTGAACTTTACAGTGTATTTGACTTAGGGATTTAGGCTACTTATAACATAACCACTGTGTACTACTGTTATGTTATAAATGCATGCACATTCCCACCTTATGGATTTGTATACTGAGGCCCGCCCTCCAAAAGTGACACTTTGGGAGGTGGAGCTTTAGGAAGAAATGAGCATAGATGTGGTTACATGGAAGGACCCCTCACAATCCCTCACAATAGAACTGTATGAAGAATGAGCAATCAAAGCTTTGCATTGTACTAGGTAAGGACAAAAGAAAAAAGGCAGACATGTTCACCCAGGAAGCGACAGCTAGGGGAACTGAACCTACCAGCTTCCAGAACTGTAAGAAATGGATTCCGCTTAAGCATTGCAGACTGTTTTTAACACTTGCTCGAAATGAGACAAATATACTGAACATGCACACAAAATGAAAAAGGGCAAAAACAAAACAATTTTTTTAGATGGAACATAATACTCTGTTAGGAAAAGCATTATAGTTCTTGTTGTTGTTGTTGTTGTTGGTGGTGGTGGTGGTGTGTGTGTGTGTAATTAGATTCACTTTTTATTTTTCAAAAAGGGAGATAACAGAAATGGAAAATATGAGAAACTGAAGTTCAGGTATCATGTTGTAGAAGAGGAAGCAGACAATGTTTAAAAAGCTCAAGTTCCAGATGGAAATCGAAAACACTATCCTGAGTGAGGTAACTCAGACCCCAAAAGATGAATATGGTATGTACTCACTCATAAGGGGATTCTAGCCATAAATAAAGGACATTGAACCTATAATCCGTGGTCCTAGAGAAACTAAATAATAAGGTGAAACCAAAGAAAAACATATAGTTATTTTCCTGGATATTGGAAGGAGACAAGATTGCCAGGCAAAAATTGGAAACTTGGGGGAGGGTAGGGGGAAAGAGGAGATGGGGAGAAAAAAGTGAGAAGGGGGGATGGGGAGAGCTTGGGGGAATGGGATGGTTGGAATGGAGGAAGGGTGGATATGGGAGCAGGGAAGTATATATTTTAATCAAGGGAGCCATTTTAGGATTGGCAAGAGACTTGACTCTAGAGGTGTCCCCAGGTGTCCATGGAGATGTCCCCAGCTAGATCCTTGGACAGCTGAGGAGAGGGAGCCTGAAATGGCCCTATCCTATAGTCATACTGATGAATAGCTTGCATATCACCATAGAACCTTCATCTGGTGATGGATGAAGCTAGAGACAGAGATCCACATTGGAGCACTGGACTGAGCTCCCAAGGCCCAAATGAGGAGCAGAAGGAGGGAGGACATGAGCAAGGAAGTCAGGACCGCGAGGGGTGCACCCACCCACTGAGACGGTGGGGCTGATCTATTGGGAGCTCACAAAGGCCAGCTGGACTGGGACTGATGGAGCATGTGTTCAAACCGGACTCTCTGAACCTATCGGACAAGGAGGGCTGACTGAGAAGCCAAGGACAGTGGCACTGGGTTTTGATTCTACTGCATGTACTGGCTTTATGGGAGCCTAGCCTTTGTGGGATGCTCATCTTCCTAGACCTGGATGGAGGGGGGAGGACCTTGGACTTCCCACAGGGTAGGGAACCCTGACTGCTCTTAGGACTGGAGAGGGAGGGGGAGGAGAATGGAGTGGGGGAATGGGAGGAGGTGGAAATTTTTAAGATAAATAAATTAATTAATTAAAAAAAAGCTCAAGTTCCACATGAGCTAACAATCATCAGGAGTTTACAGTCAGTCTTCCTCCTGAAAGAAGTACGCTAGTGTGCCTGTGCAGGTGGTTCACATACACTGTGAACGCAAAGACAGCTCAGTCTTTAAGAGCCCTGTCTGCTCTTCCAGAAGACCCAGGTTCAATTCCCAGCACCCTAATTGGGCTTACAAAATAGCCTGTAGCTCTGGCTCCAGAGGATGGTTGCAATTTTGGGAAAAGGTGTGGAGCACGGACATCATGCATCACGGTGGGTAGAAAGAAGTGGCACTGCTGACCGCCCTGTCAGGTCACTTCTTCCTAAGCAAGTGACCAGACATCAGAGACTGTGCAGTGCAGGAAAACTGCATGAGTATGCTACCATTACTTCAAACATAAGCTCTTTATCACTCTCTTCACATCGGGTGTCTTAAGAGTGCTTATTAACCCATATAAGGTCACATCAATTCATTTGAATAGTTTGAAAAGAATGGTAACTAACCTTTGTTCTCCCTAGCAACCATCTGGTTTCCTGTGTGCAGTGGCGGTAGGCATTCGAGGAGGTCCCAGTCCTTGAACTGATGCTCTATGTACTATATTCATCAGTCACCAAGACTTCCTCACAGATCAAAGGAAGTCACATGGTTTCCATTGTTTAGGCCTGACAGGCCATATCAAAAGGAACTATGATTATGTGAACAGAATTATGTTAAGAATGGCCCCATTAATATGATTTTAAATGCCGAAAGATAAAAGCTTTCAGCTCCACCACGTGTAATACTTCAAAGTTGCACAAATTTTCATGGTGCTATCAATGCAGCATCACTCAGCTCGTGAAGGCAGCTACTTTTCCTTGTTATCTACAAGAAGCAATTTATTTAGTACACTATCACGCTAATGAAAGAGACTTTTGTATAGCTGGAAGAAAGAGGGCTGCTAAGACAAAGGGAAGCCTGAGCAGGAAGAAGTATCCGGAGGAGACATAAACATCTTCTTATTTTCATCTCAGCCATGTTCAAAGACAGTACAGAGATCCCGGTGTATCCCTCAACCCGATTCTCCAAGGGTCGCAGCGAACATCCTTTATTATTTTTGTCCTGTGTGCTTACGGATCAGTTTGAGGATTAGAAATAGATAAAATGCTTTGTCATACCTATGTCTAAAAATGCAGTAATGTTTTTAACATAAGCACAATTCAACCATAGAAACCAGGAAATTAATTCTCATATGACCATAGCCAAATCTGAAGCATGTCATTTACAGAAAAGCAATCTCCTCCAGTCTAAAATGCAACCCAGTGTCTCACGCAGCTTTTGTCATTTCAGTAACCTTCAGTCTGAACCAAGTCCTAATTACTTTTTTTCTCCATAATCTTGACATTTTGAGACCAGGGCAATTATTTTATAGAATGTCCTTCAAGCTAAATGGTCTATTTCTCATGAGTATTTTTTTTTTAAGAAACAGCTGAGAAATGTTACTGAGTCCTTCGAATATATCATATTAGGAAGCACAATCAAGTCTATTTGTCCGACAACTGATGAGGTTTCTCTACTGTAAAAGTGCCACTTTCCTTCTCTAATACGTTTTGTGGTTTTATACTTGAGAAGAGGCAACACTTTATCCTTAGCAACTGTTTGCCTTTAATTTCGGCATCTATAAGTCTCTTCCTAGAAATGGTACACGTTATCTGTTGAATTCTGTTTTCTAGCATGCTGGGTTTTTCTAATTTTTTGTTTAATGAGCTTTATTTGGCTTATTCATTCACATCAATATAGACTCATAGATTTGTATTTTATTCATGGAACTATTATCATTACTGTTACTATATATACTGTTAATATTACTATTCAGTACCTAAATGGTCCTACATTTACCCAGTGGTAGACCTCAAAAAGTTGGTCCCTTCTGTTCTGAGCATTTTTCCTTGCTTTCTGGAACAGGAAGCTGTTCTCAGCTATCTTTGGCTCTCCCAGGCACAGTACTAGAATCAGGCATTTGCCTGGGTGGTCCTAGTTCCTTTTCATGGAGTCAGTCAGGGACTGCCTATTAGAAAACAAACACTCTAGGCAGGAGCCACTAATTGACCTGTCTCTTCCCCTTTGCTCTCAACTTTATTTTCTTATGTGGCTTTTATCTTTTGTTAGCCTTTTGGTAGCTTGGAATGTTGTGTTCACTTCCATTTTTACTGACACTGTGTTTTGAGCTATGTATTTCTCTGATCACTGTTTTAAGTTGATCTTCTAGCACCGACAAAGACATTAAGCATCAGCTCAACAACTTGAAGAAACAGCATTAGTTCAACAATCAGAATGAACAGGAAGAAAGAGCCCAGGCCTTTTGATACATTTCTACTCCAGACTTGAGTATTCCTTATCAAATGTGTGAGTATTTCAAATTTTAATTTTTGCAAGCTTTGGCTACTTACGTAAAGTTTACCCATTGAGTATCTTTAATCCAAAATAGAAAATGGAAATCTTACAAAATCAGAAACGTCTTGATTACCACAGACTACTAAATAGTAGGTCTGCAACATCTGGACAGGGGTGCTCAGGTAAACCATTAAGTTTTAGAAATTCTGCTGTCTACTCACTCAGGAGGTGTTGACTATACAATTAATTTTCAAGTGGAAGGGGCCTTAGTTTATTGATTTCGTTTAAATTTCTAGTTTCAATAAGCTGTATTTAGAATAATGTATGTACTATATCTACTTTATAGAATTTGCTGGTACTCTTCTTTCTGACCCAGTTAACATTATAAATGGTTTTCCACATGGACTTGGAGAAAAGGCGTAGTCCCTATTATCCAGATAGAAAGTTCTGAAATATATAGTGATTATATTTGGGTTCTCTCTCTCTCTCTCTCTCTCTCTCTCTCTCTCTCTCTCTCTCTCTCTTTCTCTCATACCACAGTCTTGACCCTTTTACTCATATTATCACTTCTCCCACTCTTTGACTAGACTCTGGGAGCCTGGCCCAGTGATAGCTGTGGATCTCTGAATCTGCTTCCATAAGTTGCTGGAGTTTCAAGCTATTTTGAAGATATTATAATGAATATAAAAAACATTGACAGAGAGATATAAATAAATAGTTCACAAGCTAGAAATTCAGTAATGCTGAAACATCACTTCTCCACAAATTACTTTTAGATCGTGCAAATTCAGAATAATCTTAGTAGACATTTCAACAGGTGTTACAGAATTCAAGATGGAAATTGAAATGATATACCAATGTCAAAATAACTCTGAAAAAGGAAGATGAAATTGGAAAAACTTCTGCCTGATTTCATGGTTGACAATAAAGTTCCATTAATGAAGCTTCAGTACAAGGACATCCAAAACAGTGGGGCAGAGCTCAGAAATACTGGACAGATACCCCAAGAGAGTAAGAGCTGCCCAAGTTCAAGGAGGGAAAAACCAATCTCTATGCAAACTGCGCTGGAACAGATGGGTACCAATATAAAAATAAACAAGTCACAAAATTAACATTAACCAAATATGAACTTGGAATTAAACTATAGATTTTCTACAAGAGAATGTAGGAGAAAACTACCTTAAGAGAGACAAAAATTTATGAGAACATAGAACAAATGGGAAATAAATAAATTGGATTTCACCAAAATATAAGAAATAATAGCACAATAATATTAAGATAAAATAATGCCACAAACTGGGAAAAGACACAAGCAGTGAATATATTTGATAAAATCCTTGACATAAAAAGCTTAATGATTTTATAAAATGTCATAGTAGAAAAACCCACTGATGATTACACACTGTAATACATACTGAGATTGTCACCACAAGTAAGAGTGATATATTAACTAAAACTATTAAATGAATAAAACCAGTGTACCAGTTGGAGGGAAAAAACAAACGGGCAACTTCTCACAAAGTTAGCCATTAAACAGTAGATGGAAAATCTTTCCTGCAAGGTATTTATCCACAAAAAAAAAAAAAAAAAAAATCAATGAAAACCCATACTTGCACAAAGATTTAGTATCAAAAAGAAAATAAGCAAGATAAGCAAACCAGGATATAGACACACCAGATTACTTCTTGGCAGTAAAGCAGAGTAAATGATACAAAATGAAGCAACGTGGCTGGACAGCAACAGTGTGGGGCTGGAGACACAAGCAAGCTGACTCCCAGCCCCCATTCTAGGTACTCAGAGCACCTGTAAAACTCCCACTCCAGAGACACAAAGGCTGCCTCTGTTTCCAGGGGTGCTTGTACACCCATGGTATGAAAAGAGATAACAGAAATAAAGATAAATTTTAAAAACATATAGCACTGTGCTGTGGCAAAGCAGGCATTTCTGTGTTTCACATCTATGAAATTATTGAGAGTTTAAACTAAACTGTGTAAGACCACTGTACCTGGTCTGAGCTGCAGGGAACAGAGCACAAAGTCGATTTAAAGACATTTGTGGGAGTTCTATGCATTGGCATAGTTATTTGGCCAAAAAAAAAAAAAAAAAGAAAGAAAGAAAAATCAGTCCATATACTTAACAAAACTGATTTAAAAATTCTAAACATATGTTCAGTGAAAAAACATATGCTTACATGAAGGCAGCTGATGACAGAGCTAGATTTTATTATAAATGTTCATTAGATGATACAAAGAATTTATTATTAAACTTAAGATTTTTGGTACAATAAGATAAATCACCTTAGGAGAAAGGACCAGGGTGGGGTCCTTTAAAAATTTCATTCTGAGCTAAGTGCATGGTTCAATGGCTGAGCACTTTCTTACCATACACAAGACCCTTAATCTCAGCCACAGCCCCACAAAATTATACAAGCAAGCAAGCAAGCATCCCAAGAGACAGTCAGAGAGCTCAAGCAAGCATCCCAAGAGATGGTCAGAAAGCTGACCACCTAGAATTAACTAATTTCATGGACAATATATTGTTATTTTTAAAAAGTCAAAAGAGTAGTTTTTAAGGTAGTAAATAAAATAGAAACAAAATTCAACCTGTCTGACTCATTTTTTATGTCATTCTCTGAAACATTATTTTACTTTGTGTTTTTGAGACCATCAGGCTGGCTTTGAACTTACAAAACTACAGTTGCAGTCTACCAAATATAGGAATTGGAGCATATGTCAGTCTACACCTAATAAGTCAATCTATGTAATGTGCATCATAAATTCCAAACTGCATATTACTGTAGATAAAATTCTGAGCTCTGAGAGTCCCCCAGTGTAGAACACATAAACTTGGATGTGCAGCTCACAGTGTCAATTACTTTCCAGAGTCACCATCATTGCCTTAGGTATCACAGTAGCACGAACAGAAAGCTGGCAAACAATGGATTTTGAAAGGGAGAAAACAATGGTTTCCAGTTCATTAACAGTGCTTTACATACTTCTAGAATCTCATCTAACAAGGCAAGCTGTCACTTTAAGGCAGCTTCCTGAGACCTAGTATGCCTCCCCATTCTCCCATGTACAGCACAGTTCAGACCCACAAGATTTGCTACAAGCTTATTATACTACTTATTTTTACTTTCACTTGAATTTCCTAATGACATATTATAAGGAGTAAGTGGATCTCTGATGGTTGGTTATGTGCCTTGTTCAAACTACCAAACCACAGAGCAGTGACTCAAACCTGATTATTTCAACTCCAAAGTCCATGTTCTTAAGTTGCCTTGGTACAATACTGCCAAGGGAGAACTCAACCTCTCTAAAGGTCCTACATAAGCTTGCAAAATAGTGACAGGGTAATTTTTTTAAAACTCCATTTACCTTCAGGGGACGCAGGGCACCACAAAATTTCGTCCACCAGCTGTTTTCAATGAATTCTAAGTGCCGGTCTCTTTTCCTAAGTGTTCGTAATCTTTCTTCACATTGCTTTAAGGTACGTCTATCCCTGGCAGGCAAAGGTCGACCATCTTTGCTCTACAAACAATAGAACAAAATCAAGAGTTTTGTCTTTCAAATCCTTGGAGTCTCAACAAAATAATCAAACAGCCTTTTTAAAGTTGGACAATCACAGGCAAACACACAACTCAAACAATGTAACAGGCCCAGTCTGACCAGGATCTGTGCTGAAAAGGAGCTGCCTGATGTGTGCTTCTGCTGTATTTCTAATACACGCTAAAGATATGTGAGCATAAGGATTCATAAAAGCATTCCATAGAAACAAATCCAGAAAAGATAAAGAACACACCTGCTTTATTAGAAGCACACATATCGACTTGGGGCTCTATTTTAAAGACGCAAAGACACTACGAACAGGAGGATTTCCATACTGTTCTATTAAGGCACAAAACGTACACTCATCTGGAATGGGTCTGAAAAAGCATGGGATAAAACCGGACCCACTGATCATAGTGGACAATGAGGACTGCTAAGAAGTCAAGAACAATGGCACTGGGTTTTGATCCTACTGCACATACTGGCTTTGTGGGAACCTAGGCAGTTTGGATGTTCACCTTACTAGAACTGGAAGGAGGTGGGAGGTCCTTGGACTCCCCACAGGGCAGGGAACCAGGTCTGCTCTTTGGGCTGATGAGAGAGGGGGAGTTGATTGGGGGAGGGGGAGGGATATGGGAGGCGGTGGCAGGGAAGAGACAGAAATCTTTAATAAATAAATAATAATAATAAAAAGGAAAAAAAAGTCAGGAAGAAGTATGTTCAATCCCTCTTGGGTTATGGAACAAGGGAGAGCCCAAGTAAAAATTGTGTTCATTGGAAAAAAACAAAAACAAAGAAAAAAAAAACCATACACTTATGCTACTGCAGCCTCAATGTGAAAGAACAAAGAGAAGGTAATAGCTGAACTACCTTTCAGAGACGCCTCCCACAGTGACAGACATCTCTCCACAGTGTCTAGGCCCTACTGAAACCAACCAGCCTCTTTAATAGCGTATCTCAATGGATCACTCCAGTTGGAGTTCGGAAGTCCAGGATGTTGGACAGTGGAAGCGGGGCTCATAGGGGAATGGAGCCTCCAACAAGAACCCAGAGAAGCCCATTCAGGTTCCATTTTGAAAGAATCTGGCTGCATTCTGTCCAGGTGTGAGAACTTGAGTAAAGTTAAGTTCCAAAGGAAACGGCTGTGTCGTAAGGTAAAGAAAGTTTTAAGAGAGCCTACCTTTCATGCTGGGGCGGGACGACTGCTCAATCTTCCCAGCTTTCTGCTGAGCAGATGGAGCGTCCAGATAGACAAAAGGAAGAGTTTGGAGAGAAGGGAGCATGAAGAGCTCAAAGTTGTAACCAAAATGGATACAGACAAACGCCGGTAAGTGTTTCTGAGAACAGCACCTCTGCAGAGCAATCACAGACTCACACTGACTGGTGGAAAGGGGGCTGGAAGGAAAGTCTGCCCATTGAGAATTACAAGAAGTAATATTTAAATCCATTTGAATGATGATGCCTGAAATATAGCTCCTTCAGGGCAGTCTGCTGGGAAATGGACATCAAAGGAAGTGCCCTCCTAGGTTGTCAAAGATACACAGAGGCCACTGCACATGTGGGCCAGGGACCAGGCTGTATCTTGGGCTGGCATCAGAAGGTGGTATTCACATTCGTGATTTTCAACCTGCAGTCTGCAAGAGTAGATTATGAGGCTTACAGCAAGGTTCAGAAAGTCACAGGCCTGGCAGTAAGTAGCAGGGATGGGATTTCTGCAGAGAGCTCCTGAGCAGGCTTCTCTCAGAGCTTTGAAGGGAAAGCCTAAGCTGGAATGGAAACCCCAGGATATTGGAGCTGCCAGAAGTGTGAGACATCTGCTGGGCAAAGCCAAGCTGTGGACACCGTGTAGAACCAAACCAAAAGAGCCCGCATGTGACATGTGCCACCAGTAACAAAGCAGGAAGAGCAGAGCCACCTAAGCTCACTCTAAGAGATGACATGATGTCACTAGGAACCCTAGAAGCCAAACCTGGAACTTGGGGTTTAGTGTCTGCTCACTTTCCTTGTTATCTTTCTGTTCGTCCTTGTTGCAATGGGGATGTTAACCCTATGCCACCGTATGGTGGATTTATCAACCTGACTTCACTACTGTACAAGGTCTCAAGCCCCTGGCACTGTAGCAGCATCAGCACTGCTAACATGCCAGGGACTCTTACAAAACAGACTGGTTCCATTTCACAGTATGAGACGGGGTAGACTGCTAGGGTTACAGGGATCTTTGGGGGCATCCAGTTTATAAAGGCTGGACTTTTGATGGTTAATTTCACTGTGAATTTACCAAGTTAGGAAAACACTTTGGGATTAAGTGAGGAAGAAAAGGCTACCCTTGAACACAGGCAGCACTACCCCATGGTGAAGAAAAAGGAGACAGTCAGCTCTGTATCAGCACGCCCGTTCTCTGTGTCGTGCCCAGATGAGAGATGCAGACTCACATCCCTGAATACATAAAGAACTGCTCCACGACCTGCTAGACGGTTCAGTGAGGAAGGGTGCTCGCTGCCAAGCCTGACGGCCTGACTTCAGTCCCAAAACTCACATGGTGAGAGAAGATAACTGACGCCCATAAGCTGTTCTTTGACTTCACACATGTGCTATGGCATGTGCCCATCACCCCCATCCCTGCCAGATAATGGATTAAAAATAAAAGAGTTGCTTGGCTAACACAGCATGCCAAGCGGACACACTGTACCTTTAAGCTGAGTACTTAAGTAAGCCCTTCTTGTTGTTAAAACAAATCCATAATATGCTATTTGAAGACGACATAAAAAGAAAAATTGCTATCATGCTCTTAGAAATACATTTACATCACACAGAATTAAAAGTAACCTTAAACTGCTCAACAAATACCCAAATTTGAACCTAAGAGAGGCAACAAACCACATTACACATAAAATCCAGGTGATTAAGAACTGGAAAAGTCTTGGCCATAAGCAAGCAGCAGGCCATTTTTAGTTGTTAAAACACCAACAGAAATTCTCAAATTGCCACTATTTTATATACTGCATAGAAAACTAGTAATAGGGACATAATCCTTGAAGTACTTGTTGCACAGATGCAAACAATGTAAGAAGTTCTGGGTCTGTCCATGGCAAACTCACATCAGGATGGATAAGGTCAACCATGCTTCCAATGACAAGACGGGAACTCACTTTTGATCGAATCGCTTGAATGTGCTGCTCCACTTCCTCAATGTCTTCAGTGTTTTCCAGGCGCTCGTAAGCAGCATTTCTCGTGCCTTTTATCAGGTTTAAAGGTAAGGCTGACATGCCATATGCCTGGAAGGAGCATACACATGTTTTACTAAAGCTACTCAAAACATTTTATACACAATTTTCAAGTTCAAAACTGGTTTCCTTCGGAGTGATAACTTGAAAGTGAGCAGAAGTGAATAAGTAAAGTTGGTTACCTAGCAACGTGCCTACATGGCTCTGAGCACACTCACTATTTCGGATTTCTTTTATTTACTCCAGTTATACATATACAAGTATGTTTCTAAAACAAATTAGTCCGACTTTATCAGAGTGGTAAGTTACAACTTCAGACTAATAATGTTAAAACAGTATGAGCTAATA